GTTTGTTGTCAGGTGTGTAAGTTTCCATGTGAAATATAAAGGCAGTGTTCTGAAGGATTCTAGCGGTCATGTTCTGTAGCCAAACGACTTGATACTGTGTCAGGATGGGTGATCCTACCATCTGTTGTATTTTATGTAGATATCTAATACAGAAATATATATCAAATTTGTGATGTATTATGTAAACATGTAGTATTTCACCAAATAGATTGCTCTCAAACTCAACCTCAGAAATCAGAGTATGATCATATGTACAGAAGTTTCTGGGGTTATAGAGGACATCTATAATACAACATCTAATGGAGGGACTATGTAGCAGGAATTCTAAACCCTTTTCATACAACTCTAACAGTCTTATAAATAATTGATGTTTTTGACGCCATGAAGTTTACTCAGAAACATTTTGTTGCCTGGAATGAAAAAGTTAGGGCAGACCTCCTCATACACCCATTTGAGGATGAGTTTAAAACACACCCAGAACCCCCCCCCCCCCCCAGGAGATTTTCTGGACACAATTGAGGCATTATATTTTGTTGAATCACCCAGAAAACTGCTGTCTTCATGTGATAGGAACACAGTAATTTATCATCATCACCTACACAGCCAATTGTGCCTAACGTTAATTTAGTGTTAATCTCAATTAACATTAAATTAACGTTAGCTTGATGTTAGTTTAATGTTACTTTCGTGTTAAGTTAACATTAAAAAAGTTAACATTGAATTAACGTTAATTTTAAACGTTAATTTAACTTAACATTAATTTCATGTTAATTTTTGTTAATTTAATTTTTAATTTCATGTTAATTTTTAACGTTAATTTAACTTAACATTAATTTCATGTTAATTTTTAACGTTAATTTAACTTAACATTAATTTTATGTTAATTTTTAACGTTAATTTAACTTAACATTAATTTCATGTTAATTTTTAACATTAAATTAACATTAGAATTTTAAGTGAACTTGGGTTCTGTCTTTAAAACTAGAATTAGTTAATGTTAATTTCATGTTAATGTTAATTTCATGTTAATTAGAATAACACGAGATTAATGTTATTATTCAAATTTGAGACCTAACTTTAAACAATACTTGCCAATCATTTTAGTGACATTTAATTAATTATTAAGATGTCCATATGTGGATACTCAAAACCGCCGAGGTTTGGGGGTTGGCGGTGGGGGGGGGGTTATTGGCACTTGTGTCGGAAATAAATTTTTAACCCCAAATTATAAAGATAAAAGTTGTGTTAGTATTATACCATAGGTTCAAAAGTATTTCCGACACAATTTATTTCCGACACAAGTGCCTTTGTGTTTGTGTAGGGTGTGTTACACGTGTGGGTTTGGGAAAGGGGGTGCTCTAACTGTTAGCACCCTCTTCACCTCGTCCATTTTTTCATACATTCTTAAAAAATTAATTTATCTATACTTAAATTATAAGCTCTATGTCTATCTTTCAAAATGTCAACTTGGTTTTGGATTTTTTTTCCGGTTAAAAATGGTCCGTAACTTTTCTCAGAATCGGTATTGTTTTTATCGGTCGAAACTGTACGTCTTGTTTGACGTCATCGGCTGTAACAGAAATTGAAAACACAGAGGAAAAAGGATTTATCAAGTCTCTGTTAAAAGTAAGTATTTTGTAGGCTTTGTAATATTACGTTTTTGAGAGTTTCATAATTTCAGAGGTCCCTAAATGTTTGAACTTTATGTACAGCAACATAACGCATAGTTATTCAACAGTTCTTGCAGGCTATCTGTGTCTGTATGTAAATCGATTCGTTGTAGTATCATATATAGGTTTTTCACTACGGTATTGTGTCGTAGGCTGTGAACGACGACGTGCAAGATCTCTGCTGTGTTTGATATTTGTATATCAGCATTACTTTTTTTTATTAGGTCTATTTATTGTTCAGTTGGTTAAATTTGTTTGAACACTGAAGCCTACCGGTACAGCTGTACTGCATCCCTACGTGCGATGCGGAGAAAATTCGAAAGTGAAAGTAGAAATAGTGTACATGTTAACAACAAGTAGAGCTTTTCAAAAAAGCTTACCGTTTTTAGCAATAATTTTAAACAGTAAACAGATCTACACTTAACAGGCCGTATATTTTTTCAATTTCTTGATTTTGTATTTCTAAATTAGCTTGATACGGACATTAGCCCTACCACGGTTGTGGCTCGATCATCTCCGTAAACTTTGACTGGCCGAGAGCTTTCGGCAAACCTTGGCTGATTCAAACAAGAAAGGGGAATAGAATAATAACAAATTGACAAGCCTGCAAGCAATAACTATCAATTTTATTTATAATGAAATTAAAGAGACCTTTTTATTTATTGCTATAAAAATTTTCATGTTATTAAGAAATAATTACTGCTGATTTTGTTGTTCGTTTTGTCCTTTTTTAAAGGATGGAAATCTTGCAAAATTGTTAAGTCGTACGAAAAATAGATCATCAGAAATTTATCTCCCTTGCTTTGAACAGCATTTCAACCAATGAAATAATTGAAAATTTTCTCATCATGCAATTTCTACCAATCACAAAAGAGAGGAAGTGCATAGTCCAAAGACTGTAAAAACCTTAACTATACAATACCATCTTTCAAGGAAGACGGTAATAACAATAAGTTGAAGTTAAACACGCAATACGATGTTTTCCCTGATTCTAACAGTTCATCTTTTGGTTTCATCATTATCGAGAAAAAAACCCGATTTGATATCTATTTTTATTGTATTTTAAACAGCTGGAACTTGGTATCACATCTGACTCGCACTTCTGAAATGGATCAAATCGGACTTTGTCGTCGAGACTCGGAAGAACCCAGCTGCGTAAATTATAATGCCAGTGGAACTCAAAACAGGTATTGAAAGTGGAACAAAATGTGAACAATTCCCATAGTAAATGTAATGACAGTGAAATTTACATTCACACACCCCAACTGATTTTTTAAAATACCAGTTAATTACTTGTCACTACTTGACACTTGTCAATATTTTGTTCAGAAACATTTTATAAGCATTATTAAATCAAGATTTTTTTCTTTTACTGCATAATACAGAAAAGATACTTGTATGCAAGACATGGAGAAAAGAGCAGACTACAGCCTCTATATACCATTCCTTGGTGCCTCCTTTAATTGATGTATTTCAGGAATACCATGCAGGAATAAAGGTTATTTATAAAATAGTATATACATAGTGTATTCATAATTTTCATTAAGAAAAATGTTATAAATTGATCTAGAGTTTATGCTAAAGAGACAAATTTAAAGCCAAATTGCTTTCACTGTACTACAAGTTTGCTTTGAATCGGACACCGCACATAAAATTTTGTTTCTATCTATGAATTTCATATATGTTGAAGATATTAAATTTCAATTAAATGATTTTTAATTATTTTTTTTATAATTGTAGTTTAACTCAGTATAAAGTCTTGCTGACATGAGCATGATAATCACAAGAAAGAGAATATATTTCATGACCTTAAGCAATCTTCAAAATACCAGGTAAAGTGCATTTATTCTGAACACATATATCAAATATTTAAAACCATTTAATATGTCACCCCTAATTTTTTTTGAAAGTATACTGAACATGCAATGTCTGTTTGCCAGTCTCACTGTAAAGTAATATATATGGAAGTATGTAGTTTTTAAATACTAGTAGCTTTTTAGTTCACCTGAGCCGAAAGCTCAAGTGAACTTTTCAGATCATATTTTGTTCGGCGTTTGTCTGTCCATCTGTTAACTTTTCACATTTTCAACTTCTTCTCAAGAACCACTGCGCATGAAAAGATGGAACTTAAATGGAAGCATCCTCAGATAGTGCACTTTCAAGCCTCTTCAACCCCGGGGGGGGGGCACAATGGACTTTCAGTCTTACTTAAGAAATAAGGTATTTTTAAACATCTATCCGGACATAAATATCGGTTGGTCATGACTTACAAGATTAAATTCCATAAAACCTGTAGGGTTTATAATGAATTTAATCTCGAACCAACCCGTATTTATAGCCTGTTGGATGTTTTAAAATAATACCTAATAAATTATATTTTCATTTGTGACTTATTCATACTTTATATTTGCCTGATCACGCTGTTTTTGGCTTTTAACATGCGAAATGTATTATTTTTCAAAACCAATGGCATGTATGCAAGGCACTGAATGCGTGTCGACCCTTTGTGACGTCACTGTGAAATTCCGTTGAACATTTATCAATACGCACATCTATGACCTCTTGACCCCTGTAGTGTAGATTCAAATTTGATCCCAAGTTTTACATAGGAATGCATAGGAAAAACCTTTTTAATATCTTCTCCGAACTTATGCGGAATCATCCTCAGGTAGTGTAGATTCAAGTTCGATCAAATCATGATCCCCCGGGGGTAGGATGGGGTCACAATGGCCGACCAAAATTTTACGTAGGAATGCATAGGAAAAACCTTTTAAAATCTTCTTCAGAACCATTAGGATAGGAATGATTAATCTCATGACGTGATGTGGAAGCATCCATAGATATTAAATGTAGATTCAATTTGTTCAAATCATGACCCCCGGGGTTAAGGTGTGGCCACAATGAGGGATCACAGACTTGCATAAGAATACATAGGAAAAAGAATCTTCTCCAGAACAGAAAAAAATTGTTTTGTCAAATTGACATGATCTGCAAGTAGTAAAAATTTAAATTTATTCAAATAATGCCCCATGGATTGGGGGTTAGCGAGGGGTCACAATGTGAGATCAGGTAATGTGTTGGGAAAATCTTTAAAAATCTTCTTTTCAAGTAGGGCAAAATAATATATGCATGCTGTATTGTAATAGTGACATTTTCAAGTAATAGAAAATTCCAAATCCCACTCCCCCAATAAGTGTAAAGTAAGCTTCTCAATACTTAACTGATCTGTGTTTTAGCTAGCCAATGTGCTCAGGTGAGGAATGTGGCCAATGGATCTCTTGTTTCATTCATTATATTTTAGACAAATTTGAGTTTTTAATGTATTGCTGAAGTATTTTATTTTCATATAATTTATTATAATATATGTGTTTGCCTCTCTTCTTTTTCAGATTGGAAAAAGAAAGAAGATTTGTAGCATTGTATTGAATATGCCTGATTAAAAGTATTAATGGATGAATAGGTGTTATTCTCTTTTCTTCAGAAAATTTCAAATCGGAGGCAATGCTCAGAATTTTACAGATTTTGTTGAAAGAACTGATGGGTCCCTTTATCCTTTTGGATATATTCAAACTGAAAAGAAAGTGACACCAGGGATGAAGTCAACATGCAAGCCTAGCTTTCTGCAGTGCTACAAGGAAAAGTGCAAAATTGATGAGCTTCTGGTGTACCTTTAGAGAAATAATTATAATTACATGTACTAAGCTTCTGCTATGATGAAAGAACATGAATTTTTCTGGAAGAATAGGAAGGAAAATTCCAAAAATATGCACACAATTTTCATGAATTTTAACGTTAAATTAGTGTGAACTAATTAACGTTAATTTAACGCTTAACGTTTATTTAACATGAAAATAACGTTATTAACGTTAATTTTTCAACGTTAAATTCATGTATAAAAATGACGATAATCTAACGTTAAATATTTAACGTTAAATTAACGTTATTTTCATGTTAAATTAACGTTAGGCACAATTGGCTGTACTCCAATGTTTATCATTTCTGTTAAGATCAATTTGAGTAAGCCATAAACTAAGAATTGACAGTGGTTCATTACAAACACAATTTTTTGTTCTGCTAGGGAGAAAGAAATTGTCCATTCATGATCTTCATGATTACCTAGGGTATGTCCAATTGCTACAAAGTGACATCCATTTTTCACTATATCATGAACAATATGAGGCTGGGGCCATGAGTGACATCTGTCTATCCAGGGGGAACCAGAGGGAGGTCAAAAGTCACTGACAAAACAGGGGGCACTATCATATTCTATTGCTCCAAATGTTCCACTGGCACAGGGTCCATGTGGAGTAAGGTTAAAAGGTAGTGTTAACTTAGATAAAATGATCTGTCTGAATTTAGAACTAGATATATAATATCTGTTATTCATTCTAACACACGCTCTCTGTATAACTCTGTTTGTACTTGGTGACAGTTAATAAAACATAGTAAATCCTGGCGGACTATCAGAACAGTCACAGAGGATCGGTGTTTGTCTGTATGTGTTGTAATACTGAGACTGAGATAAGTCCCAGATCACACGGCGATTGTTTGGCCAGATCATATAGTCTATTTCTGAAACTCTGTAACTTCCACACATCATGATACTGTCATCATCACTAAATAATATTACTTGATTTTTTAGCATCTCCCTGATGTCCATCACATCTCTCCTCATTGCCACCTGTTGTAAGGTCCCCGCTTCATAACACAGTCCAACAAACACAGACTCTGATATGCATTGTATGGCTTTACTACTGAAAATGATTAAAGTGGATCTTATATTCTTACATAGTAAATGTTTTACTTTTGTAAATCTCGGATATAATTATCATAATTGATAATTTTAACATTCATAAATCATAAAATAAAAAAAATACTTCCTCAACTGAATCAGTTATTTTTCAACTCAATGTAATCATTCATTTTTTTAAAAATAAAAATAATAACTAAAAGTGTCTAGGATATATAAAATTATGTTTTAAATTCAGTGGCAATTTTACTGTCAACAAATTACGCTGATAACACTGATTCAGATGAATTAGGAATTTTTTTTAGAGTTATAAATTCTTGTCATTAAAATTTACGTTTGTGAGCTTCTAATGGAATCCATTTTTAATAGCGTATATTCCTTTCTGCTGATGTGTAGGCTAGTGTGAAGTCACATATATAACCTGAGGTGCAAAGTGTGGGTAGACAAGGGGCTTCCTCTCAATATGTATTGGGGGGTTGGTTTCAAGCTCAGACATCTACAATTCTAATTTGACAAGTGAAAATAATATTGTAGACGTATCTCAGTTAACTCTGCTTAGGGAATATGGAAACTTTCTTTCAAATTCCGTCAAAAAGTTGAATTTCCTGCTTACCCAATATAACTCAAGTTGTCAGTTTCGTTTCCTGTATGTATTGTGGACTCCTGTTGCTTTCAAAGAAATTTCCTGGTACAGACTTGAAATTAGTAACACTTGAACTTTGGCTTAAAATATTTCTAGCTATGGGATTAGTTTTATCCTTCAATATAAACAAAAAGTGTAGCATAATAAAATTGTGGATTGCTAAGAATGGTTCTTATGTAGGCGGGGGCTTATAGTGTTTGTTATGTCCATCTTCTGTCCTTCCGTCACACTTTGCATTTAGCTCAGTTCAAAGTTCACTTTCAAAGAAACTAAGATATTTTCATCAAACTTCATATGCTGCAGAAAGTCACTCAGGTGAGCTATTGCAATCTGTTTTTGTCCGTCGACATGCTTTACAACTTTATGTACTGGCCCAGGGATCAGGGGTTTTGGTGTTAGGGTGGGGCTCCATTGATTACGAGGGGTGATCAAAAAGTTCGCAAACTATCTATATATCTAGAAAACCACAATTCAGATTAGAATGAAATTCAGAACACACAAAGCCATACACAAGTTCTATAAATAGCATATGCTGTATAAAGTTTTTCTCCTTGTTTGTGACGTCACAGTGTGAAAATGACGTCACTATTTAGGTCACTTGTGACGAAAAATGGTTGTCTTAGTCGAACTCGTTCCAATAAAAACGACTGTACAATTTATTGTATATATTAGAAGTCCCTCTACAGTATAATATAATAATTTGTAGACAGTTTATTGAGATAAATTAGTTCCTATAAATTCAATTAATGATTGGATTAATCGTTTTAGTTAAGGAAGGCTGATGGTTAAAAATGATACTCGTCATCCTGCCCAGTGAAAGCAAGTTTGAAAAGATATGTTTTTTTAATTAAGCAATTTGCAATCAAAGACCCCCAATTAGCACGTTGAAAAATAGTTGAATATTTGAACAATGATATAAGTATTATATACCTAAGATATCGTTTACTTTAGATTTTAAATATATTAGATATGATAAAAAGCATGCACCCATTCTCTTTGAATAAACGGTCTCCTGAGACAGAAGATTTGTGTTTTAATGGTCGCCATGCTTATTTTTGGAAAGGATATTATTATCCTCCCATTCTGTTCCCGAGATATGACCATTTCTGACAAATGAACTGTTCTTGTCATAAAAATTAACTCACAAGGAACGAAATATAAGACTCTGAAAAATCTTTCAACTTCTGTGACAAAACAATATGGAGGGGGTCACGTGACCGCCAATATCACGTGATTCGCGCATGCGCAGAAAGATGGTTGATGGTCGGGGAGGATTAATTTAAAATATAATCAACATTGAAACAAAATATTGTTTCTTGTATGGAAGTTATTCAATTAGTTTGATTTTTTTGATCACCCCTCGTATATTATAGTGAAATGCATTAATTCTTTAAATATCTCTAATGCTTTTAGGTATTAAATAAAATAATTAAGTACATAGATATGATAATCAAAAGAGTGCCTCTACCAAAATTGTGAATTTTATGGCCCTACAAGGTCAAGCGTTCTGGTGTTAGGGTGGGGCTCTTTTGATTATATAGTGAAAATAAATTGATTCTTTAATAGTCTTTTTTCTGCTCCTGTGTATTTACTTTTTATATAGTTAGGATGAACAAGAGTGCATCTTCCAAAATTGTGAATTTTATGGCCTGAGGTTCAGGAGTTTTGGTGTTAGGGTTGGGCTCCATTGATTATATAGTGAAAATACATTAATCGTCTCTTCTCCTAGGTATTTAATAAACTAACTAAATATATAGTTATGATGGGTAAGAATGCCTGTTCCAAAATTTTGAATTTCATGGCCCCGGGGTCAGGGTTTCTGATGTTTAGGGCAGGGCTCTATTAAAATTATAGTGAAAATACTTTGATTAAAGCAATGAAGATTTTCTTCTCTGCTCCTGGGTATTTAATAAAGTAACTAAGTAAATAGTTATGAGCAAGACTGCCTCTTCCAAAATTGTGAATATGTGTCTCCAGGATTAGTTCTGATTTTAGAGCGGGGCTCTTTTGATTAATTATATACTAGAGAAAATAAACTTAATCTTGAAAATCTTCTCCGCTCCTGGGTATTTTGCAGATGAACTTCCTATATAATTATGATAGATAAGGAACCTTCTTCTAGAAATGTGAAATTCAAGGCCTCTGGGTCAGAGGTACCATAGAGAGAGAGAGAGAGAGAGAGAGAGAGTGGGGGGGCTCTACTTTAATATACTGAGAATGAGATAATTGTTTGAAGTCTACTCCTTGTTATTAATCAAACATTTTTGATAAGCAAGGGTGTCTCTTAAAAAAATTTGCAATGCATGGACCAACTTGGTCGGGGTTTCATTTGTGGTAGGGACACTACTGATTATTGCTGAATATTACTGATTAGTTGAAATGCAGTTGTTGTTCCCCTACTCTGCCTATTGGTATTAAGTAACCAAACTAAGCAATTGCTAAGTGTATATATATGATCAGTAATGGTGCCTCTTTCAAAATTGTGAATGCCATAGCATCTTGCTTAAAAAAATGAAGGAAATTCAATCATTTGAGAGTTGTTGCATGATGCTCAGGTGACCTATAAGGCCCATGGGCCTCTTGTTGTTTTACAGGACCTGTAGCGTTATGGTCCAAGACTAATATAGAAAACCGTAAGACTACAGTTCTGCGGCTGGTATATCATTTCAGTTGATGGGAGAGTATTCACTTGTTGGGTACTTCATGATCCCGCCATTTTTTTAAGTACACGGCATGGGTTGTTTTACACCACGTTCAACTCCCATGAGTACTTTCAGTACTTTGATATAGTACACTCTCTGCGTTGTTTTATACCATGTTCAACTCCTACAAATTCTACTTTGATTTCAGTACACTCAATGGTCGTTTTTCACTGGATTTCTCTAAATGGGAGAAAAACATTGATTTTGAGCATGTGAATTTTACATATAAGGTCGTAGGAGTTCTTCTCCCTTTAAACAGAGCTATAGTGTTTTATTGCTTGAAAGCAGAGAATTGTTGAAGCAATCATTTTGCTACATGTTTTTTTTGTTTCATGCAAAAAAATAAATGTGAGATCACTGATGTCCAATACCTAGCTTCCTTGTATATTTTGTTGTGAAATAGATAACATAAACACAAATACACTGGCATCTTTGTATAAATAAATTCCTTTAAAAAGATGAACCTGTAACCAAAGGTCACCTAACTATAAAAGTCACTTTTAATGCATCCCGTAGATGATCGCTTAATACACGTTTGATTGTAATTATGATAAGCAATGGTGTCTCTTTCATTTTATTATAGACTAGTTATTACCTTGTAAAACATGATAAAACAGACAGAATAGATAATATGAAATCAGAATAGGATATGTAAATAATAATATATTTCAGGTAAACACATACAAATATCTGACATTTAATTAAAAAAGGGAATCCATTGACAAACTCTCTGTATTCTCATTTCTGTAGCTGTTTGTATGTGGTTGTAGGGTTCTTGTCTGAGAGATTGTTGGTATGAGTATAGAACAGCCTGAAAGTCCCCTGTGAACTCTTGACAGATCCCCAGAATCTGCCACGATATGTCTCTAGACAATAAATTTATACACTGTCCCTGATCATAGTGAACTAAGGTCTGTAGATCATCTAGAGCTGTTTGTGCTCGTATTGTGTCTACATGTCTGTAGCACAAAATCTCTAGCATGTATAACAGTACCAAGGGTGGGATGAATAATACACGCATGTGTCTCTGTAGAGCAGACTGTTGTTCAGGAATCAGTTCAGTGATGTTATGGATTCTATTGTTAAGTCTGATATCCCATGCTACAGCCTGTCTCATCTTTGTAGACCAGGACTGTCCCCCTACAGCCTCAATATACATCTCTATATCTACATTTTCCATATCCATATATATCACAAATGGTTGTGCTAACTTGACCTTGATTAGCTCTATAACAGATAAAGCTTCCGAGTATCTAAGTGTTTTGAAATAATAGATGGCTATGTACAGCATGTCTGTAATACAACCAAACTTGGCTGCTAATTTCAGCATGTGACAGGACATTTTGTCAGCTCTGTACCTAAGTCTGTTGTCAGGTGTGTAAGTTTCCATGTATAACTTAAAAGCAGTGTACTGAAGGACCCTAGCGGTCATGTGCTGTAGCTTGAGGACTTGATACTGTGTCAGGAGGGTTGAACCTACCATCCGTTCTATTGTATGCAGATGTCTAATGCAAATTTGTATGTCCCATTGGTCTGGTGTTACGGAATTTTGTATTATTTCACCAAACACATTTCTATCAAACTCATCCTCACAAATCAGAGTATGATCATCTGTACAGATGAAGTTTCTGGGGTTATAGAGAACATCTATAATAAAAGCTCTAATGGAGGGACTATGTAGCAGGAATGCTAAACCCTTTTCATACAACCCTGACAGTCTTATATATAATTGTTGTTGTTTGATGCCATGAATTTTACTCAGAAACATGTTGTTGCCTGGAATGAAAAAGTTAGGACAGACCCCCTCATGCACCCATTTGAGGATGAGTTTAAAACAGACCCAGAAACACCCCAGGAGATTTTGTGGACACCAGTGAGGTATTGTATTTTGTTGAATCACCCAGAAAACTGCCGTCTTCATGTGATAGGAACATAGTAATTTATCATTATCACCTACTCCATTATTAATTATTTCTGTTAATATCAATTTAAGTAAGCCGTAAGTTAAGAATTGACAGTGATTCATTACATACACAAGTTTTTGTTCTGCTTGGGAGAATGAAATTCTCCATTCATGATCTTCGTGATTTCCTAGCTTATGTCCTATTGCTACAAAGTGACATCCATTTTTCACTATATCATCAACAACATGAGGTTTGGGCCATGAGTGACATCTGTATATCCATGGGGAGGCAGAGGGAGGCCAAAAGTCACTAACAAAACAGTGGGCATAATCATATTCTAGTGTTCCATATCTTCCACTGACACAGGGTCCATGTGGAATGGGATTAAAAGGTAGTGACTCAGATAAAGGGATCTCTCTGAATTTAGAACTAGATATATAATATGTGTTACTCATTCTAACACACGCTCTCTGGATAAATCTGCTTGTACATGGTGACAGTAAATATAACAAAGTAAATCCTGGTGGACTATCAGAACAGTCACAGAGGATCAATGTTTGTCTGTATGTGTTGTAATACTGAGACTGAGATAATTCCCAGATCACACGGTGATTATTTGGCCAGAACATAAAGTCTATATCTGATCCTTTCAGTCTGAGTCCTTCTCCATAACTTCCACTCGCCATCGCACTGGACAAACCACTTGTTGCCACTTGATTTCTAACCATCTCACCGATAACCACTATATCTCTTCTCATGGCCACCACTTTTGAGGTCCCAACTTTACGACACAGTCCCACAAACACCGACTCTGATATGTGTTGTATGCCTTCAATACTTAGAATGATTAAAATGGAATTTATATTCTTGTATAATGAATGTGTCACTTTTGTAAAACTATAATATAATTATCATAATTGATGATTTTTACATTAAAAAATCATAGAATAAATAAAAACTTCCTCAACTGAATCAGTTATTTTTCGACTCAATTAAATCATTTATTTTTTTTTAATAGTGAAATTTGTAACTAAACTTGTCTAGAATATATATATATATTATATGTTTTAAATTCAGTGGTGTAAAAAGTTAAAACCAATTTTACTGTCAACAAATTACACTGATTCAGATGAATTAGGAATTTTTTTTAATTTAGTGCTATAAATTCTTGTAATGAGAACTTACTATTGTGAGCTTCTTATGGAGTCCATTCTCAGTAGCGTATATTTCTTTCTGCTATTGATTAGGCTAGTGTGAGGTCACAGATTTTACCTCAAGGAGCTTCCTCTAGATAAGTATTGGGGGGTCAAAATTAGACACCGTCGACTTAAATTTGACAAGTGTATATAATATTGTAGACGTATCTCAGTTAACTCTGCTAAGGAAAAATGGAAACTTTCTTACTGAATCAAATTACGTCAAAATGTTAAATTTCCTACTTACCCAATATAACTCAAGTTATCAATTTCGTTTCCTGCATGTATTATGGACGGTTTCTTTCGATGAAATTTTCTGATGCAGACTTGAGATTAGTAACACTTGATATTTCGCTTAAAATATTTCTAGCTATGGGATTAGTTTTGTCCTTAAATATAAATCAAAAATGTAGCATAATAGGATAGGTATCAAATTGTGGATTGCTAAGAATGGTTTTTATGTCCAATCATGAATATGGCCGGGGCAGATGGTGTTTGTTATGTACGTCTTCTGTCCTTCCGTCACACCTTGAATTTAGCTCAGTTCAAAGAAAGCTGTTTCAAAGAAACTAAGATATTTTCATAAAAATTCATATGCTGTTAGATATTGATGAGAGTCACTCAGGTTATGATGAGCAAGAAAATGCCTCTACCAAAATTATAGATTTTATGGCCTTAGGGTGTTTGGATGGGGCTCTTTTGATTATATAGTGAAAATGCATTATTTCTTTGAAAATCTTCTTTTCTGCTCCTGAGTATTAATTGTGTGCATAGTAATGATGAGCAAGAGTGCCTCTACTAAAATTGTGAATTTTATGGCCTGAGGTTCAGGGGTTCTGGTGTTAGGATGGGGCCTTATTGATTATATAGTAAAATGGAAATATAAGGAATCACTGTCTAGTTAGTAGAGTATCCCAGGGACATTAACGATATCGGAAAGATGGGATACTTTAAACATAGCGGGCCTTGCCAATTTTTAGTTTTTATTGTGAATCAATTTCTTTTGATGATGAGTTATATATAATAGGAATGTGTTTGATTGATTGATTGTATATAGTTTAACGTCTCTCTCGAGAATTTTTCACTCATATACAGACGCACCCACTTGCTGGTGGAGGGCCTTGGAGCAGTGAGGGATCTTTTTCGTGCCAGCACCTACTGCGACATGGGCCTCGGTTTATACGGTCTCATCCGAAGGACCGGTCTCCACGTCCCGCAGTGGGATTCTAACCCGCGACGTAAGGATTGACTCCTGACTCTAGAGCAGACGCTCTAACCACTGCGCCATGCGGGCAACGGAATGTGTTTGAAGAGGTTGGTTAAAAATTGCTTTAACTACTGTCAATTACCAAATGGAGTTTTACTAAGATTTTATTTGAAAGGATCTATACTTTTTTACTTATTTTATATGTCAGGATTTAGAGAAGACAAATTTTTTTAGAAGTTAACAATGTTCCAGGAAATTGATTTCTTTGTGGACTGTCTTTAACAAAAAGTCAACGAATTTTAATAAAATTCTTCATAAAAAAATATCCCCACATATACATATGATCTTAAAATTTCTTATTCTACATGTCTTAGACATTTCTTTGAATAAAGCCTGGTTCAATTTCTGATTTTCTGATAGGAAATCAATACAAGGCACGTAAGTTAAATTTGACTTTTAAATTCTGAATTATCTTTGTTTCTTTTATGAATTCATTTCTACAATCAGAAATGGTCAGGAACCTTTTTGTTTAAATATAAAATGAAAATTCAGAGTTCCCCTTTGAATTCAAGAATCAGTCTGGAGAAGATTATGTTGTTTAATTAAGGTACAATGATACTCTGATAAGAGAGATAACTCTTAATGACACAAATGTCTTTTATTCCTATATAAATTTGCCAAGTTCAACTGCCTTTTTTGTCAAAATTTGCCCCGCAAGCCAACATGCTATAATTGATTGTTTTTTATTCAGCATATACATTTCCTCTGGAAAATCATAAAAGTTAAAAAAAAAATTCATATGAGTGAGCAGAGGTTTTATGTACCTTAAAAAGTTCAGATATCTACATGGTATGTAAGTTGAATTCCTATCATGTCATTTGAATGAAGACAAGGATGTGTTGTTTTCTATTTAGTTGTTTTAAAACATCTATTATGGCTGTTATAAACAAGGGACTCTGTGGTTTTCATGAAATCGGAATTTAAATTTGAAATACCACTGATGTTGGTAATGAACTTTTTTAAATTAAAAATAATAAAAGTCCTAACTCTTGAATTTAGTTACATGTATGCGGAGCTGGTGACCAGTTTACTTAATTCCAGTCAGTGCAACAGCTTTTGAAGTTCAAATAACTTACCAATGTGAAACTAAAATCCTACAGAGAAAAAAAATTATTTTTGCCTGAATTTCTGGATTCTGCATGTAATTTGAGATTTTTTTTAAGGAAATTAGCATCCTTTCTCCATAGTGGTTTCTTTAACTCCTAACTAACAAGTGAAATTAAACTACTTTGAGTTTATTTATGAGGTCCTCTGTGTATAACATTAAGAGGCCTCTATGTACATGTAAAATCCTCAGAGAAAAAAAATTATTTTTGCCTGAATTTCTGGATTCTGCATGTAATTTGAGATTTTTTTTAAGGAAATTAGCATCCTTTCTCCATAGTGGTTTCTTTAACTCCTAACTAACAAGTGAAATTAAACTACTTTGAGTTTATTTATGAGGTCCTCTGTGTATAACATTAAGAGGCCTCTATGTACATGTAAAGTACAATAAACTGGAGAGGAGAGTGTTTTCTTTATTTTCTCCTTAATGTTCCCTTTAATTGAGATGGTTCTTTGTGATTTGGTGTGAAATCAAACAACATTTCTATATTAAATTTCATTTTCCTGTTCTTCGGAGAAAACAGTCTAAGAACCATGTACTTTTCTGAACTTGTGACATGATATTTAATCTTTTTAAAAGAAAAAATTTGTTTGTATCATCTGTCCTTAAATATTAGTGAAATAAATGACTCTGATAAATCGGGAAAGAATATGACATGAAGGTTGACCATTCTGCAAATATGACGTCATTAATGTGAAGCATTTCTCTATTTTCAACAGAAAAACCCTCAAAATGTCACATTTCAAGGTTGATTTTCCTATTGAAAACAGTGTCCACAGCCGTCGCCCACGTTATTTTTTTTATATTTTGTGCAAAATTTAATAACAAATCACATATCTCAAGATCATTGTGGGCGATGCATGTGGACAATGTTATCTGAAAGAAAATTCCATTGAAAATTTGTGTCTTCTGCAACTTTTTAAGAAATATTGTGCATAATTTTAAGCTCTATCATTTGACATCATTAAAAAGGGGCTGATCCCTCAAATTAGGGGCCAAGGATGCTCGAAAGGTTTTGCTTTATAAGTTAAAAACGGTAAATATTTCGATATGGTTATCGATTTGAAATGGGTTCTTTAGCATCTTATTGATCTCATGAAAATGTTATTTTGTTCAAGTCATATTTTATTAGATGAGCAGAAAACTTTATAGTCCATGTACAGATAAGTGATTTTATACGGCAAGTGAAGAAGAATTCTATATGCATACGCGTATAACACGTATAACTGAAATTAACTGGATAAGAATAATATACCTAGCTAAATTGAATGTTAAACTTTGTTGAAATAAGATTTTTAACGTATTCTCTAGCTGGATGTCATATACAGATTATTCAGAGACAACTTTCTCCCTGTGTTTAGTGTATAGAACAAGACGGGAGAGAGGAAAAATATTTTTAAATATTAATATTCAATGTAGCATTATTTATTTTCTAAAAAATCAAGCTTAAGATAATTCACTGTCATTCAATTCATGCATCGTGAATTCTCCTCGGACCCTGAAAGATTCGTGTGTACAGTGTGTGTGTTTTGTGTGTACAGTTATCACATGGTTATAAAACCCGTTTATCGATCGCGCATTGACCTGTATACATTTGTGAGGTCAACATTACCGCTCTTTGATTTACTAGAGTCCTAGATTTAAGATCAAGAAAACATGTCATTTGCGCTAATCGTAAGAATATTTCTATACACAAATTTTAAGGTTTTCTTGAACATGATTTAAAAGTGTTGAATGTCGGATTCTACTCTTTGACGAATGAATAAAAGGTTCTGCGTTTACGCGCGCTTTTCTCATCTGCTGAGGTATCTATGGACGAGTTCATCGGTTACACTGAAGGGTGACACAGGATGACCTATCGATAACTCTGCCAATTTTGATAGTGATTTTAATTGCACATGTACCATAAACATGATAAATTAATGTTCAATTCTACCCTTGTGAAGTCCATTATAGTCTCATTATATAAAAAAAAATTGGGGATATCAATACTGCAACTTGTTCTTGATTTGTGCGGATGATTCTATTATTGGAAAGGTACACACGTAGTGCGACGATTTTTTAGGCCCCGTCTCCCCCTCCACTTTGAAGTAATTGTAATCGTTACATGTATACGGACCTATATCAAATTATTCTAATTGCTTTATATCAGAAAAATTTGCGATGTTGTTTAAATACATATAAACATAGCACAGTAAATTGTAAGTGGAAGTGACTTTTCCAATTCTCATGAAAATCGTAAATGAAAAAACTTTGAATTTTGCATGAATCGATACATAACTTATAATTGCATTGTACGGAATTACTGTGGTTTCATCAATTTTCGTTG